GGGGGGGGGGGGGGGGGGGGCCAGTCGGGAGCCACGTACCGATATCGGCCGCCAGGCCGAGGATCTGGCCCGGCGGCAGGGACGAGGGCCAGAGCAGGCTAGACAGGACCCCGGGATAGTGCGGCATGACCAGCGCCTGGGCCGGGGCGGCCGAGTACCCAAGCAGCCGGCAGACAAAGGGCGACCCGTCGTTGGCCAGGAGCAGGCCCAAAATGGCGATCTCCTGGTCGAGGAGCGACTCGAAGTGCGCGCGAGCCGGCGAGTCTGGGTCGACCGCGATGCGGTGGCGGGACGTGGGTTAGGCGAGGGCCGGGGGCTGAGGGGGGGGGGCGGGGGGGCGGGGCGCGGGGTGTCCACACACCAGCGGGGATCATCTTGACGGCGCCGGCCGACCCGCCAGCCAGCGAAGCCAGATCCGGTCGGAGCAGGGTGCAGGGCAACACCACCGCCTGGGCCCCGGAGCCCAGGGGCTGCTGCTGGTGTTCCAGGCGGTAATCGGTCTCTGCGCAGAGGAGCAGGTGCCCGGGGAGGGACATTTCTGGATGCCAGTGGGCCGGCCAGGGGGCGGGGCGGTTAGCCGGGACCGGGGCCTGCAGCCAGCGAGCCATCGGGTCGGGAGGGGGCAAAAGGCCGAAAAGCAAAGGGAGAAGCATGGTCACGCACCGAGCATGGTATTCATGACGGTCATATCCTCCTGGGGAGTGGTGCATTGCGTTAGCCCGGGCCAATCGACAGGAGTATGGTATGGGAGGGGGGGGGGGACCGTGTGGGTGCACGCGCGTACCGACTGGCCGAGATGCTCCATGGGGATGGCGTCAGATTGCTTGAGGGCGCTTGGGCGGCGCTGCCGCCACAGCAGGCAGAGAGCCGCCAGCGCAACCAGGAGCAACAGCAGCAGGCCCAATGGCAGGGCGATGGCCAAGACAAGCCAGCGCGAATCTGCACGGAGGAGGTTAGACATGGCAGGAGGGGCACAGAGGCGGCAGGCGTCCCGGCCCTCAAGGGGCCGAGGGCTTGGGGGACATACTTTGCTTGGGACAGCCGCCCGGCGACTCGCAGTGGGGGGTCAGGCAGCCGTCGGGCCCGGGGCCGAGGCACGTGGCACAGGTCATGTCGCAGGGGGCGCACGCGTCGTCGGTGCCTGTCGAGATGAACCAGCCATCCGGGCAGGTGTCGACGCAGGTGCGCGGCCCGGAGCCGACCGGGGCATGGTCGGTCGGGTGGCGGTCCGCCAGCCGGACGGCCAGCAGGTCGGGCTGGCATTGCTCACAGTCGTCGGGCGACATGCCACACACCAGGCACCCGGGAGAGGAGCAGGGCAGACAGCGTCGGCCAGCGGCGTCCGTGTGCCAACCGGCCGGGCAGGTGTCCGTGCCGAGGGGCAAGCATCCCCCGGGGCCGAGCAGCAGGAGCCGGTCGTCGATGCAGCCGGTGCAGTGGCCGGCCTCGGGCCCGGTGCAGCTGGCGCAGGGGGCCGAGCAGGCCACACACTCATGCTGCCCGGGCGTGAGGGCCTCCCGTTGGAAGAAGCCCTCCGGACAGGAGGCCAGGCACCCGGTGCCCGGCAAGAGGGCCGATCCCGGCCGGCAGCCGAGGCAGTGCCACGGCTGAGGCCCCCCCTGGCAGGAGGTGCAGTCCCGATGGCAGGGTGCACAGCGCGCCGAGGGCGGCGAAGAGAGGTCGGGGAATTCGTCGGGCTCGCATGCGGCCACACAGGTGCCCGGGTGGCGCCCGAGGAGCATGCCGTCCGGGCATTGGACACAGTGGTCGGCGGTGCCCTCGCAATGCTGGCATCCCGGGGCACAGGGGAGGCAGCTCTTCCCCGAGGCCAGGTAGCCCCGGCCGCAGGTGGCCAGGCAGCCGTGTGCCGGATGCAGGGCCAGATCCCCGGCACACTGGGAGCATTGCTGGCCGGCGGGGCCGGCGCAGGCGAGGCAGTAGGGCCCGCAGGGCAGGCAGGTGCCCCCGTCGGGGAAGGTCCGCTCGGGGCAGGCCCCCATGCAGGCGCCCTCCCAGAGGTTGGGCCGGGGCATTGGGCAGGCGGAGCATTGGCCGGCTGTCGGGCCGTGGCACTCGGCACAGGAGGTGTCGCAGGGGACGCACGCGCCGGCCAGCGGGGTGCTTGTTGGCGGGCAGCTGTCCAGACAGCGCGCTTGGTGGAAGACATGCGACCGGGGACACAGGTGGCATTGGTGGGCCTCGGGCCCGGCGCACGACAGGCAGGACTCGTGGCAGGGAATGCACCGGCCGCCCTGCTGGAAGAAGCCCAAGGCCGGGCAGGCCGGGCGGCAGTACCCGCGATCCAGGACCCGGGCCGGGGGGCAGGCGGTGCAGGCGTTCGACCGGTGCGCGGAGCACTCGGCACACGAGCCATGGCAAGGGAGACAGGCATCGCCGCTGGCGGCCGGGAACATGGCCTCCGGACAGGCCTCGACACAGGTGTGGCTGCCGGGCAGGAGCAGCCAGCCGGGCATGCACACCAGGCAGAGGGCCGGGTCGTCCGGGCTGCATGCGGCGCAGGCGGCATCGTCGCAGGCGCACGCCGGGCAGGGGTCCGGCAGGCAGGCATTGTCCTGCTGAAGCGCCCAGCCGGCCGGGCAGGAGAGGCAATCCGTTGACAGGGGCCCGGAGCAGGTGGCGCAGCGCGGGGCGCATGCGTCACAGGCGGCCCCCGCGGCATGGGTCCCCGGCGGGCAGGCGCCCACACAGGTGTCCTGGTGGAGCATGAGCCCCGGGGCGCAGGTCAAGCACGCGCCAGGGCCGGGGGCGCCGCAGGTGGCGCACGATGCGTGGCACTGGAGGCACTGGGTGCCGGAGTCATCGAGCTGGAGGCCGGGGCCACAGGCCCGGCAGAGGGCCCCGGCCTGGTCGGTGACGCAGGACAGGCAGCCGGCGTCGGCGCACGGGGCACACTGCTTGGCATCGGAGGACGAGATGCCGGTGCCGTCGGGGCAGGAGCGCACGCACGCGCCGGCCGGGGTCCGCAGCCAGCCGGCCGCACAGGCCAGGCAGTCGGCGGCCGTGGCGCCGAGGCACCGGTCGCATGCCGGGTCGCAGGGCCGACAGGCCCCGGGCAGGCCGGCCGGCAGGAAGCGATTTCCCGAGCACGCGGTGCATTGGCCGGGGCTGGGCCCGAGGCAGGAGGCACAGGAGGCGGCGCATGCGAGGCACTGTCGGCCATCGGGCCCGGGCCCGAAGCCGGGCCCGCACTCGGCCACGCAGATGCCAGCCTGGAGGAGCTGCCCATCGGGGCAGGTGGCACACAGCCCCGGCCACATGGCCGAGCAGGTGGCGCAGCTGCCATGGCAAGCCTCGCACCGGGGCGGGGACACCCCGAGCCCGGTGGAGTCGTTGGCCACCGGCAGGAGGCCCGGCTGGCAGGTGCAGGCCGACGGGCCGACCTGCATGCCGGCCGGGCAGGCACAATTGTCGGCCCCCGGGCCGGGCTCCGGGACGGCGTGCTCCACACACTCACACCGATCGGTCAGGGGGCTGATGAAGCGCCCGGCCCCGAGGCAGGTGCACTGGCCGCTGGCCCGGTCGAAGGGGGCATCCGAGGGACACCAGTGCTGGGCCTGGTCGGCTCGGGCCATGACCGTGAGACTGGCCTGCCCGTCGGGCGAGTGCTCCAGCACCACCACTTCCACATGGTCATCTTGATTGACATCGGCCAGGAAGATGGTCGGCGGGGGGGTGCCGTCGGTGGACATGGTGGCTGTGGCGCGGCCCGGGCGGATGACCACGCGACGGAAGGCCGACCGCCGGCTGTCCTGAGCCAGGTAGGCCACAATGCGCCCGGTGTGCCGATACACCAGGACGAAGTCCGCATTGTTGTCGCCATCCAGGTCATGCGTCTGGAGGTCGACATCCTCATTGATGGGGTCACTTTCGAGGTTGACCATGTCGCAGCCGTAGTCATGGCGATGGCCCGGCTGGGTGGTGGCCGTGGCAGGGCCATGGCCGGGGCGGGCCGGCGTGGCCGGGACCCGGGTCATGGGGCTGGCAAAGGCGCCGGCCGCGGCAGCCTGGCCGGGGTGGACCAGGCGCTGGCAGTGATGCTGCATGATGCACATGAAGTCCAGCAGGGTGATGCTATTGGGCTGGCCATCGGCCCGGAGGAGGGCCACCTCGTTGTAGCTGGCGTGGTTGGTCGCCACGAAGACGACATTGGTGATGTGCCGGTCGGAGGGGTCCAACAGCCAGGCGCAAGACCAATTGATTGCGACAAAGAAAATGGCCGGCTGGCGGACCGGGTGCCAAGGGATCAGGTCTTGGATGGACTCCACATGCAGGAGGTCCGAGGTGCCGGAAACCGAGCCCAACATGGTGCTGTGCAGCCTCCGGGGCAGGGCCCCGGGACCCGGTCGGGGCAGTTCAACCACCACCCGCTGGCACTGGCCATCGGACAGGTAGCTGTCGGCCAGGATGCCAGGAGCCAGGAGGATGACATCGCGCCAGTCATCGGGCGAGGTGGCATCCGGCGCCACGCGCACCAGTCGCAGGATGCTGGGAGCCATGCCCCGGGCAAGGCGGGCCGGCTGGAGGAACACCTCCTCCAGGGGGTACGGCAATGGCAGGGCCTCCACCTGGCAATGGGCCATCAGGGCCGAGCTGGGGTCGAGCAGGGACACCGACTGGATGCTGGCCAATTGCACGTGCGATTGGACGGCGATCGGCTGGCCGGCCAAAGTGCACACCCGGGTCGGGGTCGGAGGATCAATGCCCACACTGGGCGGGGGAGGGCCCCGGGCCAGGGTCAAATGCACCGGCAGGGCATTGCCCTTGTGGCTGATGGCTTGCCAGGAGAGCCCGGCCGGCGGGGTGGCGGATGTGGCGGCCGGCGCCCAAGGCAGCCCGGCCGGAGTCCTTGGCCCGGGGGCGCTCGTGTCCGTCGGGGGGGTGGATCGGAGGAGCGAGGGTGGCGGCGGCGGCGGCGGCGGCGGCGGCGGGGCATGGGCCAGGTCCCCGAACCAGGGCATCCGGATGATCATCGACGGGCGGGAGACGTCCTCGATGGTGAGGGTGTCCCAGGTGAGGTCCGCTCCGAGGCCCAGGTGGGAGGGATCCGGGGACATGCTGCTGGCAGTAGTGATGCTCCGGCGGGGCGACCGGCCGATGGAAAGGCCTCCCGTGAAGAGGCCCGGCGAGTCGGGGGAAGGGGCATGTGCCGGTCCCGGCGGACTGGCGCTCTGGTCCGGCATGTGGCCCGGGTCCTCGGGCGACGGCTCGGCGAGGCTGTGGATGAATGGGGGATCGAAGTTGGGCCCGCGGCAGTAGCGGCGCATGGAGTCCATGGCCTCATTCAGGGGAATGGCTCGCGGCTCGGCTGGGCGGGCATTGGGAAGCAGCTGCCCCGCGGACACGGTCCAATCTTGGCGTTGGCCATCCTCCAGCCGGGTGTGAGCCAGGTGCAGGGAATACCCGGCAGCCATGACGAGCCCGCGATCGCCGGCCGACGAGTGGACAACCCGCAGACGCGACACCTGAAGGGGCTCCATGGCGGCCCAGGCCGGGTGAAGGGTCACACGTCGGGCAATGGTCCAGACGTCCCCCGGGCGGGGGGTGTCACACTGGCGCCCGGCCACCAGCGGGGCATCCGGCCGGTCGCACTGGCCGGCACACCGGCCGTCCTCCGTCAGCACCAGCCCCGGCTGGCAGTCGATGCATTGGGCCCCCTGGCAAAGGCGACACCCGGGGTCCGGGCAGCCGGGGCAGGATGACTGCTGGATGGATGGGGCTGGGGCTTCCTGGCCCGGCGAGGGGGCCCGGGAAGAGGAGGCCCCGGGGGTGTCGGCCTTGGCGGGCCGGGCACGGGTGGCACTTGCATTCGCGGGGGAAGAGACACCGGATGCCGGGTCACAGGGCGAGCAGAGGTCCGCCGACGAGTGTCCCGGGGTCGAGACGCCCGGGATGCACTCGCACAGGTCCTCCACCAGCAGGCCGGTGGCCCGATGCAGGCACCCGGGCGCGGGGACTTCGGCGCCCGAGGCGTCCTCCGAGCAGGGGGGCCCCGGATGCCAGTCGTCGTGTGGTGTGCACCGGCCCAGGAGGCCGCAGCCGCAGCCATTCTCCGCGTCGCTCTGGTGGAAGAGGGCCCCGATGAAGTTGCTCCGGCCGATGAGGGCCACCTGCGAGCGGAGGGTCTGGTGAATGTCCAGCACGGCCAGCACCACCGGCTGGCCGATCCACGGGGCGAAGGACACCCGCGGGACCAGGGGCTGGTGTTGGACATGGACCGCATGGGTGGCTGCAGGCTCGGCGCCCTGGTCGAAGAGCAGATCCAGCCGGTGCAGCCAGTTGCCGGTCCAAAGGAAGATCCGCGCCTGGCCCGGGCCCATGGCCAGGGGATCGGACACGGCGGCCAGGTGCCCGGTGCCCGAGGGCCCCGGGTCTCGGCCCAGGTCCAGTAGGGTGAGCAGGGGCACCGGGGCCGGGAAGTCCGGCCGAGCGGTGGACCCGATGGCCACATTGCGCAGGAGGAAGAGCACGGCCCCGGTGTGCGAGTCCGGGCTATAGGGAACAAGCAGGAAGCCCGGGCGCCGATCGGCCGGGCCGGCCATCACCGGGATAAGCTGGCCACAGGGCAGGTCCGGGTGGAGGACCTCCGCCGGGAGGGCCGGCAAGCTCTCCCGGTCATAGGCCTGGAAGGGGAACCAGAGGAGCTGGCACCGGGCCGCCGGGTCGAAGGGACTGCCAGTGCCACTTCGCTCGGGCGGCAAATGGCTCAACACCACCATGGTTTCAATGCCAAAGTCATTGTCCACGGCGGCCCAATGGACCGAGACAAGGGTGTCGTTGGTGACTTGGCGGTGGAGGAAGGCGGGCCCACGGTACACGTGCACGAGGGCCTGGGGCCCCGGGTCGCCGGCCACACGGCCGACAGTGATGTGATCGTGGTTGAGCGCCGACCCTTCTTGGATGCGGTGGCAGCCGCTGGCCCGGTCGGGCTCTGTGCAATGCTTCAGCAGGCTGCCCTCCACGAAGTAGGGGATCTTCCGGTTGTACTTGGCCAGCGGCCGCGAGGAGCGACCCCTGGCGGGGGTCTCCGCGATTTGGAAGCCACCATGCAGGGAGCTGCGCCGGAAGGACACCTCGCTGACATGGAGCAGGCCCTGGAAGAGGGACAGCCCCTCGGAGGTGGGCATGAGGGAAAACCGCTGACGGATGCGGATATGTCCCTCGAGGAGATATTGCTGTGTGTAGGTGGGGCTGTCGGTCCAGACGGGCAGAACCGTGTCAAAGACCTTGGTGGAGCTGGCGAAGCCCCCGGCCGGGGTGGCCTCGTAGAAGGCCTGAGTGCCGGGGGGCACGCGGGTGACCAGCACCGCGGGCGTGACCGGCGAGGCACAAGCCCCGCCCTGCAGCAGCATGGCCCCATGGCAGGACCGGCACTCGTTGGGCCCGGGTCCGATGCAGGAGGCACACGAAGTGTGGCACGGTTGGCACAGTCCTCCTGTGCGCCAGGAGGCAGGGCGTTGTACGGAGGCAGGGGGGGGGGGGGCATTCAGTGCGATTGTCAGTGCGCGTGCGATGGCATTTGAAGTCCATTGAATCATTGCACACCGGGCGCATCGTCAATCGGGCAGCCCGGGGCGCGGAGGGATCATTGCCCGAGGGCAGGAGCGACGAAGGTCGGTCAGGGGGCAGGTCAAGGACACACGGCGTGCGTGTGAATGGGAGGGGACAGGAAGAGGGACCCGGGGCCGGCAGCCCGGGCGGGGGAGGGACTTTCCAGGCGCACCGGTCGAGGGGAAGTGGCCGGCGCGGCAAAACTCGCATGGGGCAAAATCGGTCCCGGGATCGGCGTTGGGGCTCAGGCAATGGCACGTCGGCGGGTGGAAGAAGCCTCCGGATGCGGGGCGGCATTCGGCGTGAGGCCCACAAAGGCAGGAGGGCGAGGCGTGCACCTGCGACAGGAGCAACACCTGGCCCGCCATGGATCCATGGGCCAGGGCCAGGTCCAGGTGACCATCCCCGTCGAAGTCCCCGGTGGCCACCGACCACCAGACGCTGCTGGCTGAAGGGAAGTCCGGCAGGAGGCTGGAGGCGGCGACAGCCGACAGGTCCAGCGGGGGGGAGGCCGGGCCGCCGGTCGGCTGCACGGGGCCCGGGATCAGCCACACGCGGCTTCCGTGGGCCACAATGAGGCTGGCGTGTGCGGGAGAGCCAGGAGCCGGGGCAAGCCCCGGGGCCGGGGCGATCTTGGGCTGGCGCGCAGTCAGGGGGACTTGCGCCAGGGCCGGATCCTCGGCGGCCATGTCGCCGAGGGACAAGTGCACCGGGGCGGCGAAGTCCGAGGAAAGGAGGAACACCACCTGCTCGGGGATGGAGGACCCCGGGCCGGAGGCCACGGCCAGGTCCGAGGCGTGGCCATCGCCGTCGAAGTCGCCGACGGCAATTTGCCCGGCCCGGAAGCCGGCCGGCAGCCGGTACAGCAGCGTCAGGTCGGCCAGCGGGTGGGCCCCCCGGGGTTGGGCCACATTGGACAGCCAATAGATGGATTGGCCGGCGCCCGGGAGCAGGGGGTCGGTGGCGGCCACCACCACGGCATCGACCAAGCCATCGTCATCCAGGTCGGTGGCCGTCAGCAAGGTCAGGCCCACCAGGCCGAAGGAATCCCGAGGGGGCGAGCCGTAGCGCGAGTCGACCTGGTCCAGCTGGACCGAGCCCTGGTGGAGGGACAAAATGAGCGTCCCGATGCGCGGAGGGGAACGCCGGTCGAAGATTGCCACATGGCCATGCCCGGTGAGGGTGAGCGAATCCGATCTGTCGGCATTCATGAGGATGGCATGGGTGCCGAGGATGACCAGCGAGTCGAAGGAGTTCGACGGACTGTACAGCATATTTCGGTTCATCCAAAGGTCGGTGGGTCCTCCCAGGGCGAAGGGGTAGTCGGTGAAGCAGGCCACCGGGCCGAGTGCGCCGGCCATGAAGCGCACCGGGCGCGAGCCGATGAAGTCGCCCCGGCGCTTGGCCTCCGGGCTGGTGCGCACGGAAAAGTGCGTCTGTACGTAGGCAACATCATCGAAGCCATCCGGGCCGCCGACGGCCAGTCGGCCCTGGTGGAAGAAGTCGCAGAAGCGAATGTCCTCGGCCTGTGTGGGGGATGCCTGGCTGCCGAGGAGCCATACCGTGTGGAAGGCGGGCACGGCGCCGGCCAACGGGGGCAGCATCAGCAGTGGCAGGGTGAGCAGCGCGAGGACCACCGGGAGGAGCACCAGCCTCGGCGAGGGGCCCGGAGGGAGCCGGCCGGCCGGCGAGGGGGGCATGGCGACCGAGCGGGTCGGAGCGACCAGTCGGCGGCCGCAGCGAAGGCACGAGGGCAAGCAGCCGACAGGGCAAGGGGCCGGGCAAGAGGCGGGATCAGGGCAATGCCAGGGGGGCGGGGGGGAGGGGGGGAAGGTGGGGAGGTCTTTGGGCCACGTCTCGAGCGGCGCGGCGCCCGAAGCAGGGGGGGCCTCTTCAAGGGGCGCCGGGCGTCGCCCCCCTGCCCCAGGAAGGGGTGACTGCGTGAAACACTCGGCCGGGCCAAGACACAAGGGGTTGGGAACAGGTGTGGGGGAGCTCGGCCGCGTTGCAAGCCCCTGCGGCGAGAGAGGGGCCCTCGATGGGCCAATATACTTGGCGAATGCACGCAACCATGTGAGCATGCGTGCGATTGACGATGCCTTTCGTGTTATTGCTTGAGAATAAAAGGGCGAGCAAGCGAGAGAGAGAGAGAGAGAGAGAGAGAGAGAGAGGGAGATTGTGGGTGTGCGTCCTGGTGTGTTGAGCCGTCGAGCCGGGCCCGACGCCTGGACTGCGGTCGGGGGTGGTTTCGCCGTGCATCGATGGACTGGGGCGAGGGAGCCGGGGAGGGGCCCGGGGTCAAGTGCAGTCGATCCTGGAAACTCATTCCCAAAGGGCGTCCTCGAGCCACGGGGACCAGGGAACAACATAGTGATGCCTGGGGAGAGGGAGATTCTCCGAGCCGGTGCCTCAAGCAGCCCAGGATCGTCGGAAGCCGCCGCCGGGCGGACCGGATCCGTAGTAGGGCCGTTTGCACTGCCCCAGCGACGGAGGGCCACCCCGGGCGCAGGGCCGCCCTATCCACAGACGAAAGGGGCGCTCGTCCAGGCCCGACTCATCGGACTGCAGCCGGGTGAGAGTGGACACCCGGGCCGGCGTGTCGAGACTGCTCCCGGGTCCCGGGCTGGCCCGCAACACGCTAGTACCAACGGATTATGGTTACGAGCTGGCCGACGCACTAGGCCGGGGAGTAACAATACGCGCTCGGACGAGGGCCGTGTTGTTATGATTTTCGTACGGGGCTGCCCGACTGCCTTGGATCGGGGGCACATACCACCAAGATGTGAAACGTGACCTGAGCGGCCCACAACGTGTGACACCTCGCCCCTTGGGGACTTGGGGGTATGACCATTCATGTGATTGGGCAGTTGCCAATCCTCGCGTCTCCCGGTCCATGGAACAATGGTCTTGGCGATCCCCTGGCACGCCCCCTCCTCGGGGGATTTAATATTCCCTCCAACATGCAAATGGCTGCTCGGCAGCATGATGTCTGGTTTAGCATGCACAGGGTATATCATTCTGTTTCACATCCCTGCACCCGAAGGGAGGATTATGGGCAGGTATTTCGTGCCTGGCTCCGGCACACGGCATGCCCTTGTTCTTGGAGGCCGGTTCGCTCGAGGCGGCCGAGCCGCCTCGGGCAGGGCCGGGCAGGCATCACATCACACCCCCCTTTGGAGAAACACATATGTGTCGGGGCAGGGGTGCACCGAGAGTCTGATTGACACGACGTCGGGCGGGCTGCTGGGGGCCCGTGTCTGGCGCGTCTGTGGGGATCGGGTGCCCGGACCAAAGGTCGAGCGCCATCTAGATGTATGGTTGTCCTGGCCATGGGGCGGCCGGCATGGGATGTAAGCAGCGGCAGCGGCATCAGCAGCAGCAGCAGCAGCAGCAGCAGCAGCAGCAGCAGCAGCAGCAGCAGCAGCAGCAGCAGCAGCAACAGCATTAGCATCAGCATCAGCAGTATGGATGATGACCCGGCTTGTGCGATGTAAATGCCTTGCTAGCGCGATCTTTCTCTAGGAACTTACTTTGGGTGCCGTTCCGACGAGTCAGCTCCATCGACCTGCCCCCCGGTGGGCTGACTGGACTTCGGGCCCTTCGTCTTGATGGCAGACGGCTACTTTGTCCGTGAGCCTTGAGGAGGAAAGGCCGAGCGCCAGGTGGTCGGATTTTGCGCGGTCGGCCGGCCCCAGCAAGAGGCAAATGCGGAGCCAGGTCATGCTTGTGGCCGATAGGCAAGTGCCTGGCCGTGGGTGGTCGAGTGATGCACGTCGCCGCGACAGGGCATTCGGATGGCGGCGCTGCATATTGATGCGCCACAAGGGGGCCGTGCCGGGGGCCCAAGGCAGCTGGCTCGGCCTCCTGTGGGCCTGTGCCCGGGGGCCGATGAACACCCGAGGAGAGCATGTCGGCATCGAAGCCGTCCCAGGAAGCGCCCGGACATGGCTCAATGAAAGGGGCCACGAGGAGGAGCCGAGCAAGGAGCCACGGGCGGCCAAGTGCAATCCGGCTCCTCGAAGCGGGGCCTTTTTTGGGTGGATGGTCCTTTTTGTGCCGGCTTTCCCGCTGGGCTCGATCGCCGCCGGAGATGTGCCGCTCGGAGGCGCGGTGGGGGGGGGGGCGCATTCTTTGGGAGGACCTGCCCGGTTTCCAGGGCCGGAGGATGTGGCACCGGGCGCGGCCCATGCCGCTGGTGCGCTTAGATTGATGATGAAGAAGGCGTGGGCCGGGACCATGGGCTGATCCCCCGTCAATGGGCTTGGCGGAGTGAGAGCCATTAGCCGAGGCAACACCGGCTCGTGAGGTCCTTGGCGGCAGGCATGTCCGCATACAGGCCGGTGGACTCGCCATCGAGGAGTCCCACCACAAGGAGGGCGTGGGGGAGGAGGCGCATAGAAGGGGCCGCCGTGGCGAATCTGGAGAATGCCTCGGCGAGGGCGGCCGAGCGTGTGGCTGGGGCTGCGGGTGGAATGCGCGCCACTCGGGAATGCCCGAGGGAAGATGTGCGTATGGATGGCAGGCCGTGCGTAGGGGTCCTGGTGCCAGGTATGATGCCAGGCAGCGGCCCGCAGATCAGGCAAAGAGGTGACCCCCTGCTTGAGGAGAAAAGGAGGCGAGCGGAGGCTAGCATGTGGGGCGCCCGGCGGGAAGCCGGGCCCAAAGGCAAAAGGCGTTCAACACCGGGGCCTTGAGGGCGGAACGCCGTTACCCCGGCTGCTCTTCGGGGGGAAAGGCTTTCGCGGCTCGAGTGAGGGGGCACAGGAGGGAAATTAGCCGGGGCCCCGCCGGCGCGGTCCTCCCCCGGGCCTAGGCCCTGGAGTCGATGTCGCCGGATGTCACCAAGCCTGCCATTCGGAGACGGAGGACCACCGGGCAGAGCCGGCCCCACGATCAGCCCCCCCGCCCAATGAGGCTCCTGCCCTTGTGTGCAGGCTCCGCCCCAGCGGCAGACGGTGGATGTCTGCCGCGCGGCCCGGAGGAGGTTCCCCTCGCTCATTCCCCCGGCTCGGGGTGGCTTTTGAGCGCGGAGAGGGAGTACTTGCCGGCGCCGTGCGCCCCGGCCGGGCACTTGGGAGCTGGACTGGACATTGTCCAGTCAGGAGGCAGATGGACCAGTGGTGGATGCATGGAAGTCGGGCTTCCGGCCGCGAGCCCTGGACGGTGGCAGGGCTCGATCCGAGCATGCGGCAACCTGAGCCGGAACACCCGCAAGGCCACCGCCGAGAGGTGGCCCCCTCCCAGCTGGAGCCCGGACGAGGGGAGCTGCGGGGCCTCGCGTCGCCGGACCGCCGCGCCTGCGCATCCTTTCCCAGGGCCGCGGGACTTCGGCAGGCCGGGAGCGAGAGAAGTTCGATTTTGGATTGTGAGTTAATATTTAAGTTTTGCAAGGGGCCTGGCGGCGTGCAACCACCAGGCCGTTTATTCCGGCGGGCTCCCCCCCCCCCCCTCCCCGGTGCTGTCCAGGACGCTGTGAGTGCGCCCTTGCGCGGTTGTCCGGTCTCTGCGCGTCGACATCGCTCTTCTGACACCAGTCGCGCGGGGGCGGGGGAGACGAGAGCGGTTGCCACATTATGCTGGTGTTATTCGCGGGTCCTGTCGGGCGAGGGATAACCTCATTCTTCGGAGAGGCTAAGGCATGGGCCCCGCGCCGACGGTGGGGTGCCCCTTGCTGGGGACCATTCCCGGGAGCGGGAGGAGATAAGTGCCCTACGGGGAGGCTCCTGTGCGGTGGGGGCTTGGCTGCGGGGGGGGGGGGGCCGGGGGGCTGAGGCTACTTTGATGCTGGGGGCGCACGGGGCGGGGCGTGTCACCGAGATGCTCGAGCGCGGAGGCCGGCGAAGGAGATCATCCACCCGCCGGAGGGACTTGGATTGGCCGCGAGTGGCACGCAGGGATGGGACATACAGGAGTGGGGGGCGGCGGTCGCGACGGTGGATGACTGGTGAAGGTGGCCGCCGCCCCACCCCGGCCCGGCCTCCGGCCTCCCCCCCCCCCTTGCAGCCGGGGTCCCGGTGACGTCCTTCATCTCGCCCCACGCACCAGGCCGAGGGCATGGGTCCTGGCTGCTCCTTAAAAGGAGGCCCACTGGGGCGCGTGGAAAGGATGCCACTCGTGCATAGTTGACCGAGCTGATGCTTTTCATCTGGCCCTGTCAAGGAAGGCCCCTTCTCTTTTTTGGTCCCCCCCCCCCCCGCCCGCCGAAGACCTCTCTTCTTGTGCACTCCGCCCGCCGCTCCGTGGATAGCTGGCTTTGAGGTCCGTTTGTCTGCTTGTGCTGCGCCACCATTGTGCTCTTCCCTCCCGAGGTATGTGGATGTATCTCCCTGCTTGGCGCTCGTCTTTCCGCTTGGGGCCCGTGTGTCGGCAGACCAACTAACACCCTCGCCCCCCCGCCCCCTCGGGCATCTGGCGCTCTTTGGTCGCGGGGTGGATCCCCCCTGGGCCATGGTTCGACAGCTCGAGGACGTTTCCCCCCCCCCTCCCCATGTCCCATTCGGAGATCGACCCGCTTCCCGAAGAGGGCTGCCACGAGGGCTTCCTCGCCACGGTGCCCCCAAATGACGGCAGCTGCAATGTGGCATGTGCCGGCTCGGCACCCATGCCCGAGGAGCAGCCCGACGCCCTGGTGGAAAAGATGGCCGCGCTGCAAGTGAAGCATGATGTCGATGGCTCCCAAGGCCCGTCGCCGGGGGAAAGCCACATGCCGGAGCCGGGGCCCTTGGTGCCGAGTTGTTCCAAGTGCAACAGCACCGCGATCTCATGCCTGGCGCAATGTGGCGACTGCCGGGACTGGTTCTGCAACATCCAAGACTCCCGACAGACCCATCTGTACGGGCACTTCGTGGACCATGGCGTGCGTTTGATGGGACTTGCTCGGGTTTTTTTCTGGATTTTATTGCCCCACATGCCCCAGCCCGGGCAGGCTGGGAAAGGGCCGCGCGTGTGTGGGGCGCGGCCGCAGTCGCTTTGTTTTCCCCCCCCCCCCCCCCCCCCCCCGCTCCGAGCGACTGATCTTTCCTCATGCTCGGCCCGTGGCGACCCGGCTGCCCGGATGGCTGACGGCAGCACAAGAGCCTGATTTTCCCCAAGAGCCATCATTCCGACGGCGGGATTGCCAAGTGCAGTATCTGCGGGAGGAGCGACATTTTCGATCTCCGCTTCGACGAGAGAATCTCCAAGTACCACTTCTTTTGTTTTTCCAACTGCCTGGCGCTCTGGGATTGCATCATCCACGAGTTACGATGGGTGCCTTTGGTTGGGAATCGGTGCATTTCACCGGTGGTGCTGTCGACGTGCCCGTCCGAGGTACGCCCCCTGGTCACCCTTCCACCGGAAGGCCGGACGGCGGAGGATCTCCCAGCTGACTTGCCCCACCCGCTCGGCCGCCTGCCTGCCCGTCCACATGAAAAGGCGCCGGAGTTGCGCGACCCGGTGAAGGACCGGCGGCATACGGGCTCCCGGATGGAGTCCACGCAAAGGGCGACACTCATGGACTCGACCTCGGCCCGGATGGCGCAGGGCCGCGTGCCGGACATGTGCGTTTTTGTTTGCCGGCACAGGCGGCCGCCATTTGTGCCGGCCGACGGTGCTCGGCTCGCGCTTTCATGCCCCTCCCTTGCTCCTTGTGTCTGGAGGTCCCCTGGGGTCTGCTTTTTTTTTTCTTCGCCCCGCATAAGTGTCCCCCTTCCGGGATCATTTCGAGGCATGCCTGCGGCCGCTGGGGCTCCAGCCTCCCCCCCGGGCTTCGGCTCCTAATTGACGCCTTCCTTGCCATGTCGAAGCTTCCTCTCGCCGGGTCACTATCGGAGTGTCTTCGAGCCGCTCATCAAGATGGAAATGGAGAGCGCCAGCCAACTGTCCAACGCGCATGTCGAGCAAAATGTGGCAGGCTGTCTGGTGAATGATCGTCCCGGCCACATTGACCTGCCTCATGACAGTAGTATGTCCTCCTGGTGGTGTTGCTTGCCTGTAGCATGTGGGGCGTCCGGGGGGGGGGGGTCCGTACGAGCAAACTATGACGTCTCTAACCACCCTCGAGGGGCCATCGCGCTTGCCGGGCAGTGCTGCGGGTGAAAGTGGGCAACTTCCTGGAGATTTCCCACCCGCCTAGTGGCAGAGAGGTCTACTACTTCCAGGTGATCAAAATCGTCGACGGTGCGTACACCGGCATGGCGGCCTGCTCAGCTTGCCTGGCAGCGGGGGCTCATGCTTTTCCCGAGCCGGCCGCCCGAAGATCGAGGGAGAGGGAGTGAGGGAGCGAGGGAACAAGGGGGCGGGGGAGCGAGGGAGTGAGGGAGCGAGGGAGCGGCAGCGAGAGAGAGGCAGCGAGAGAGAGAGAGAGATAGAGATGGCCCTTTCGGCCGTCCGCCTCTCCTCCAACTGGCGGTGGGCATGGAGCTGGTCACTGTTCGGGCTTTTGTTTGATGGTCTGACCCTCTCTCCTTGGACGGGCTGAACCGGGTGGCAGATTACCCTGATGGCCAAACGGTTGTCATTGTACTGAAACATGGTTCCCTCCCCGGGGGCAGTCACAGTTGGTGGGAAGGTGACTTCGAGGTGAAGCTCAGTGACAATCCCATCCACTATCTGCGTATCGTCAGGGCACTGCAGCATTCCGCCAGGCTATACAAGCCGAGCTTCGGCCTCTTGGAGTACATCTTGGGCTACCCTGACGACGTGATCGAGCCGTGGCATGACTTCCAACCGCTCGAGATGCCGGACACTTTCCAAGCCCCGGGCATCAGCCCGCCCAATGCCTCGCAGCTGGCCGTCATGCAGAAGGTGGTCCAGCGGCCATTCAGCCTGATTCAAGGCCCCCCGGGCACCGGGAAGACCGCTACCATTGCCAATTTGGCTTACTTCTTCCACTCGCAAGGGCGGAGCGTTCACCTTTCGGCCCCTTCCAATGTGGCGGTGTCCAACATGTGCGGCCGGGTTCATGCTTCGGGTCTGGATGTGCTGTGGATGGAGAGCGACTCGCGAGAGTATGTCGCATCGCCCCACAAGCATCTGACCATAAAGGAGAAGGTGCGCCTGGGGCCAGAACGGGCGTGGGGGCGTGGGGGGCGGGGGGGGGGGAGTGCCCGGTCGCCGGCGAGATGGTGGCCATTGGGCTGGTTGCCTTGCCTTGCTTCTTGCCGCCCGTGTACAGGGGGATTGCCCCTCCCGTGCAGCCGGTCCCCGAGATGGCCACTCACCAGCAGAGCATGCCGCTTTGCCGCTCAATCCCCCTTGGTCGCAGATGAAGAACCTGGATTTGACTCCTCGGATCTCCCTCGAGTCCGCGCGGAGCGGCTTGTATTCACTTGAGCACAAACGTAAAAGGCCTTCGGATCTTCGCCGGGCTCGCCGGGAGGAGATCCTGAAAGTGCGTTGTTTCGGGACCCACCTTTTTTCCCTCGAAAAAGAAGGCTGCAGGGGGAGGCCATACGGCCGGCGTAGGCATCTCCGACCAGGCTCACCCTTGGCCCGAGCCCGGGTCGACGGTGTTTCGGCCAGCATGGGGTTTATTTTTTTTTGGGTGGCAATCTACGCCCCTGTCTCTGGGTCTCTCCTTGGCTGGCTGCCGCTCTCGCCCTCTTTCTCCCGCTGACGTTATGCGTGCATCTCGATCTGCCGGTGTTCGTGGCGGCCCTCCCCGGTCTGCGGGTGGCGGTGTCTTCGGGCCCTTCGGCATCAACACCGGGCGCCCGGTCATGGGGATGTGTGGGGGCTCTTCTGCCTGCGGGCATCTCCGCCCATGGTCCTCGCGACTGTGCCATCTCGACGACGACGACGACGACGACGACGACGACGGCTTGACTGCGGTCCGCCCTCGACCGGGGCCCCTGCCCGATGGGCCTGGCCGCGGGGGCGAAATGGACATCGGGTGGACTCCCCCGGTGGGTCCGGCTGGGCCGGTCGGCGTGCGATCGGCCGGGGGCGGGGGCTCTGACAGGAGGCCAGCATCGTCGGGGCCACGCTGTCCTCGTCGGCCGCCATGGAGCGGGAATTCGACGTGCTGATCATCGATGAAGCCACCCAGTGCACGGATCCGGAGGTGCTGGTGGCGATGATGCATGGGCACAAGACGATCATCATGGTTGGCGACCAGATGCAGCTGGGCCCGGTGGTGTTGAATGCCCGGTGCATGGCGGCCGGGCTGAATCGCTCGATGTTTCAGCGGTTGGTGGCACTCCGAGGGGATCCCCTCCGGCTGGACATTCAATACCGGATGCATCCCTCGATGGCGGCCTTCCCGGCGAAGGTCTTTTACCAGGGGACGCTGGAGAATGGCGTGACGGCCGAGCAGCGCACCCCGGCGGAGGTGGAATTCCCCTGGCCCGACCCCAAGACGCCGATGATGTTTTGGAAGAACCATGGCAGGGAGAAGCCGGACCACCGGGATACCTCCTACTACAATCCCTCCGAGGCGAGCCGGGTGCTGCAGGTGCTGAACCGGCTGCTGGATCGGGGAGTGTCGCCGGACGAGATTGGCATCATTTCGCCGTACAACGGCCAGTGCCGGCACATTCGCTCGCTCATGATGCAGCCGGCCAACTATGCCAAGAGACAGCTTTACAAACGAGTCGAGGTGGCCAGCGTCGACGCCTTCCAGGGGTCCGAGCGGAATTACACCATTCTGTCGTCCGTTCGCACCGATCACCCGGGCTTCCTGGCGGACAAGCGCCGGCTGAATGTGGCCATCACGCGCGCGCGCTTTGGAATGGTCATCATCGGCAATGTTGAGCTCCTGCGACAGGTGCGTTTTCGCCCGGGCACGGGGAGAGGGGGCCAACAAGCGCGGGTGGGGTTTTCGCGGTCCGAGTGACACCGGCCGCACGGGGGGGGGGAGGGGGGGAGGGGGGATTGCTTTCCCCGGCACATCCCGGCAAGGAGTTAACCCGTGACACGCGCGCCGCAGATCCCCGTGTGGCGCAGGCTTATCGAGCACTATCAAGAGCAGGGACTCCTGGTGGAGGGCAAGCTCGACGAATTGCGGGTCGTTCAGAGGGAGGAGGCCGGCCCGGCGTCGGGGCCCGACACACTGGATGACGCCGGCGCACCCTCGTCCCTGGGCACCACGGGGACCGGCGCCCCCGAAGGGGCCGCCGTCTCGCCGACCGACCGCGACTAGCCGGGACGGAGCATGCTGGCGCTTGGTCGATGGCGGCGGCCAGGCACGGCTCGGGGCCTGGGTCTCTTCCACGCTCGGGCAATCGGGCGCGGGAGTGGCTGAATGTGCCCTGGCAAAGTGCGGGCCGGGCCCGGGCCTGGCTTTGCACCGGTGCTCGCCGGGGGGGGGCCCCTGCCCTGCGGCTCCCCCGGGGCCGGGCGGCGGGGGGCGGCCGCACCCGGTCGGGGGGCTGGCCGTCTCGGAGCCCTCCACCGCATACAAATGCACACTTTTGGCATCTTTCATTTTTCTTCGCGCAGACCGGCCAAACAAGGTGCCGGCCCTTGGCGAGAGTGTTCCCGGAGGAGGGGTGGAGGAAGCCGCCCTTGAAAGGGTCCTCGGTCGCGGCAGTCCACATGGTGGGACACTTGTCGGGGTGTTCATCGGGGTGGGGTTTTTTTTTTTTCGTGGCTCCCCTGGCCATTGTCTGGCGGCTGGGGCGGGTGGCCATCGATGCACATTGCCCGCGATGGCTTGCCATGAGTCATGCTCGCGGCCGAGGGCCTTCCCGGTCCCGATGCGGCCTTTCTTTGGGTGGCGAGAGCTCTCGTTTGGGGGCTTGCCCCGTCGCCGACCGATGGAGGCGCGAAGCCACTGGGCGACCGGGACGGGTGCCCCTTAGTGGTCGACCGTCCCGGTCGCCGCTTCACCTTGCAGACGGTGCAGACACTGACCTGCCTCGCTTGTGGGAGGAGATACCACCGGGGACATGGGGCACCGGAAGTGCAACATGGCCGAGGACCTTCTCGAGTGGCGATGCAGGGCCCACGGTCGGTGAGCCTGAGGCGGGGGGTGGGGCGCGGGCGGCTCCATCGCAATGCGAACGACCATCGGGGAAGGCGCAGCTGCATGGTGCCGAGGGAGCGGGCAAGGCCGTGGGGCCGGGGGGACTGGCTTCCGGCGCCATGTCCCCCTTGCCCGCAAGCTCGGATGCCAGGGCACAACGGTTGGATGGCCGAATCAGCCTTCGCCTGGCTGGTAGGGGCGGGGGCGGACACACCAGGGGCCTGGGCAGCGATGCTCCAGCGGCTGTCCGAGGCGATGCCAGCCACCGAGTGTGTCGATGTATGTGTTTGTAGCCGTGCGCGCGGGCCGGCTGGAAGGAAGTCCCGATGGTCGGGCCTGCAGTATGGGGCCTCGGGCGACCGGGGCTCCGAAGGGGGGTCCCGGCTGTTTGAGTTTCCGCCAGTGCCGGGGCGAGGCGCGCGTCGGACCGAGGCGGCAGATGCCAGTCGCAAGGAGGAGGCACGGAATGCGCGACCGGGGCTTTGGGCGGGAAATAGGGCGCCGTCCGGTGTTCTGGCATACACACCGGGGCCGGTGCGCCGGGGCCATGGAGGACGAGCGTCCTTTTTCCAGGGCCAGGTCCTGTCAGTGGGAGGAACGCGATCGCCGTGTGATGCCAGATGTGGAAGACAATCTGGCGGCATAAGGAGAAGCTTCCGCGAGGTGGTGCCCTGCCGGCATGATGATCGAGCAGGGCGAAGCAAGGCGATGTGGCTGGGACCGCGCAGACACCCCCTCCCGGCGCGGGGCAGGGGCTCGCCAGAGCGCCAGATGTCGTGAGGCGCGAGCCCCCGGTCAGACGGCCGGATCACCACTGGCTGCACATCTGGCGTCTGCTCCAATCCGGGCACCTGCTGCTGGCGGGGGCGAGGCTCGCCGTAAGTGCCGATGCCAGTGGCCATCGGCCACACTGGGCGACCTGGGACAGCAGCGCAGACGGCAACCGGTCGGCCGGGGCCGGCGCATGGCGGCCAGTCGCTGCCCCGTCCCTCGCCCCGTGGCGGATGCCCCTTGCGGCTGGGGCAGCACCAACTGCTTCTCGAGCTGAGGCTGTGCTCGATCGGTGGGTCGCCCATGTGCGTTGCAAGATCTTCTCATCCCGGCAAAGGGTTGATTCGGCATCAAACGACGGCCTGGCGGCCTTCGCGAGGGGGTCGCCATGACCGACGTAGGCCCCTTGGCCGGCAGGGCGAGGGCCATTTAGCTGGGTCGCAATGGCTGGTTTGCCTGCCGCGCGGCACTGGGGCTGCTTTGGCAAGTGCAGTGACCTGGTTGCCCCGGCCTGGCTCGCCGCAGCTGGGGCGGGGAGGGGGGGCACTGGGATAGAGGGCTCGCCTCGTCCGGCGTGATGAGGGATGGATTTGGATGCGGCGGAGGGCTGTGGTAGCCTCGGGGGCATGGGGGTCGTGCCGGGAGGCCGGCCACACCGGGCCGTGAGCGGCTGCACCCGAGCGGGCCTCGGTCCCGGGGACATGGGATGCTACGGCCGTCGGGCACCGGGACCGGTCGTAAAAGCGCCCATAGGCATATGCCAGGCCCATCGGGCGCCAGTGCACTTGGCAGACCCCCGCCCGCTAGGACGCATGATCAGCGACAGGCTCCCCTGGGCCGAGTCACTGCCTCGAGGCAGAAGGAGCGAGGGTCCGCAAGAGGCCACAAGGGGAGAGGGGAAAGTGCGTACGCGCGGGAATGACAGGAGTGAGTGTGGCGCACCGCCACGACGGAGGGCCACCGGTATTCGACGGGTGGGCCGAGCGGAACATGGTATCCTCCTTGGGCCTTGCCCCACCAGACGCAGGGTCCTCATCAATGGCAGGCCTTGAAGCGTGTCTCCTCGCGTGGTGGAGGCCACCTTCCATGGTCAGGTGCCAGGAGCCACCGTATGAACCGCATGGTGACTCAAGTATGCCGAGTGATCGACGCAAGGGACAGAAGGCGCAGGCAGGGGGGCAGTGGTGGCGAAAAGAGCAATGAGTCCCATGGCCGCCGAATTCGAGGTGGCCACAACAAGGGGTCGCCATGCATGTGGAGAAGGTGCCGATGGGCGCCGGGCATTTGGAGGGATGGTGGGGGCGTTTGACGAAGCAGAAATCACCGGCCAGCGGCTCGAAGGGTCTCGGTGGGATGTTGGCCGGACAGGGAGGCACAAATGAAGAGCTCTTGGGCTTGAAGCGGTTGCATAGGAGGCTGCACCCGGGGACTGCGCGTGCTGCATGATGGAGTCCCTGGCCGGAGAAACCACGCATGAGGATGCCGTTGAGGAAGGCTGAGCTTGTGTGTTTAATCCCTGATAGTTCGTGCTGGAGAGGGGCGAGGGCATGGACGCGGGCCTGGGGAATCCAGATTCGACCGTCGCGCATGAGGAGCCCCCCTTCGGCGCAGATCAATGTGTCGAGGGAAGCCAGGACCTCCGCGTTCTGCCGGTGCAGCCCGCGAGGTCTGTGTCTGAGGGGATGCCGAAGCCGAGAGCGGATGCCCGGGTAACGCTCCGCACAGAGTCGGCCTCGAAGCAGGCATTACGGAAAGGAGCCTCGTCTTTGGCCGGAAGCGAGGAGGGAGGCGGGCTCGGAACATCTGGCGAAGGGGGCTGCTCCTGGTTGCCGCGAGCGCTTTCGGTGAGGGAGAAGATCCGAGGGAGGCGAATGCTGCCTTCGGAAGGGGTGTCGAAATCAGCAATCGAGGGGTCGAAGCTGACTTGCGAGTCATGGGGATAATCGGCAGATTGGATGGTGAAGAGGCTGCCCTCCATGAGCGGCCTGGCTGGAGACTCGGAATCGCCGATGAATGGAATGCATGGGAAAATGGTCGGGCCACCGGTGTTCCGCGCGGCGGGAGGGGATCCAGCCACTTGGCTCCACGCGCGAGGGAGGAGAGAGGGCGGATGGGGAGATCATGAGTCAGGTGGGGAGGCGAGACAGGTAATCGGCTGCAGTGCCGGTGCTGCCCTTGATGCATGGGAGTGAGCTTCGAACACTGCTTTCCATCGGATGGATGTGGCCGGGAGCTGGTCATGGGGGCGTCCTTGAATGGAGGCTTCGCTGGCCGTGTAGAAGGTGATCGGGAGGCCGTTCCAGAGGGGGGGGGGGCATTGCTTTAGGGGCTCGACGGCCGCCAAGGCCTCTCTCTCTGTCTCGTGAGTGGTGTCGTTGATTTGGGCTCTGTTCGGGGCTTTGGGGAAGAAAGAAGGGAGGATGGCATGTCGCCGGGGTGCGAGGGGCACTGGCCGATGACAAACGTTCGGGCCTCTTTGAATGCTGGATGCCGGCTGCATTAGTACCGCCCCGATGCCGAACTCCGAGGGGTCGATGCATACGGAGAAGGGTTTGCCGTGGGTGGGAGCTGGTCGAGGGCGGGCCTCGGCGATGACGAGTGCGCTGAGGTGCTGCGGGAATTCGTCGGACTGTGTGATCATGGCCCCCGATCTCTTGTCCGAGGTGATGTCCACGACAGGCAGGGTGAGCATGGCGAAGATGGGGGTGCATTTTCTTCCACAAAGTTAGCCGTGCCCATGAATGAGCGGATGCCCCTTACCGGTGAAGGGTGGGGGGCGATGTCCGTGATCAGGAGGGAGCACTGTTGACCGATGGCTAGCATGCCACTACCGATGTCCACCCCGAGGAGGCTCGCCCTCCTGCCCGATGAAGTGGCATTTTTCGGGACCGAGTTTGACTCGTGCTTCGTAGAGAGTGCGTAGGAGGGCCCTGATGTGTCCAATGTGCTCCCCTCTCGAATTGAACCCACCCAAAAACGGCGTCCACCCATGCACGGGTGCACTCGTGGTGCTTGTGCAGGAGGCCGGACAGGGCGCAGGCAACGATATGCGACTCTGTTTGGAGGCGCCAGGGGAGGCGGGACCTCGTGTGGCGTTGGCCTCGGTGGCGGAAGGCCCGGAGATGCTGCGGTTCGGGGGCAATATGGCTGAAGGCGCGCTGGCCGGGCCCAGCGTGGAGAGGAACCTCTTGCCGGTGGTAGCGGAGGAAACTTCTTCCGCCCGGGCGAGGTGCCCTTCGACTTCTTTGATGCTGCCATTCATGGATGCGCAATCGAAGACAACCCGGAGGGGGGGGGGTTGCTTTTGGCGTTGACCGGCTACGCACTTGGCCGAGAGGTCTCTAAGTTGGAACATGTGGATGGTGCTTGCTTTGAGAAGAGATTGGAGATGCGAGGGGTAGGGGGTTGGCCTCATTCTTGTACTCTTCTCCGGAGCGGACGAAGGCCGGCTTGTCGATGGTGCCGAATGGCCATGGCGGAGGGGGTGATCGGGTATTCTGCGCGCGCCTCGCACTGACAAGATAAGGTGGGCCCAGGATGGGTGGAGGCCCTCCGCCAGGCCGGTAGGCGTGATGGCCCTCGGCATGACCGATCAGCTGAAGAGGGCAGTGACTGTGAGGGGAGGGCCTTTGGTTGTGAGGGACACGCCGCATGGCCATTGATGTGTTCGGGTGCCTGGCGCTGGCGTCGATTCGCGGGAGAACCTTTGCCAGGCCGGGAATGAGGGGCATGGAGGCGACCCTGTCCAGCAGGACGAAATCGAAGGATGACTCGGCCGGCATGGCTGACACAGTGATCTCGGTGCCTCTGGCGGGTCGAATCGAAGAGGAGACTGCATGGTGGGCAGGGGCGGCGGAGCCCGTCGGCGAGTCTGTGGAAGGTGTCCAGCTGAGAGGTTGCCAGGTTGAACTTGCGAGCCCTCGAGTGGGCGATGACCCACATCCCCGCACCGGTGTCTATCTTGAATAGAACTCTGCCACGGAAACTTGTGGAGGGAGAGAGAGGAACGGAGAGAGAGGGACAAAGAACTCCGCGAAGGTGGGATTGCGCGCTGTGAGTGGGATGGGGGTGGAGAGTGGGATGGTGGCAAACGGAGAAAAAGCCAGAGCTAGGGAAGGGGACGAGGTACTCTTGGTAGTATTCTTGGTGGGGGGGAAGAGGGGAAGAGGGGGCTAAGGTGTAGATTGCTTCCTGTTGGCTCGGCCATGGTGCCTGCGAGCGGGGCGGGACGAGGGGGGTGGTGGACGCCCGTGAGGTATGTCAGACCATCCCAGCGTGCGATCTGGGCGCTGCGGTGCAGTGTGACTGTGACGTCAGAGGTGGCGTCTTGGGCTGTCCGTCGAGGGAAGAAGTGGGCATCGAAGATGGAGGTACAGCAGGAGGAGCGCAGCGCGTGGAGGCTGATCGAGCCATGCGCTGGACAGTGGGGTGACATAGCGTCCCGGAACCGAGCGGGGTCGGGAGAAATACCCCACTCGGTGGGAGTCAGAGCAAGGGCCCTGACTCTGAGGGGAAAAGCCATGTCCTCCTTTGTGCCCCAAACTTGGCAGAAGAATTCGATGCAAGCACAGAGGGTGCCGGTGGCAGGGGGGATGAGCTTGGTGGTATCCATCCGAGGGATCGGTGCATAGATCCCCTTGAGTTTGGAGAGCTCTGCGAAAGCGCCTTGTGACACCGGGTTGGACATGAACATGACCATGGCCGCCCGGAATGCGACCGGCCGAGGTGACGGATTGGTAGTGCTGTCCGGCGGGAACGCCTCCGACGCAGATCGAGGGGGTGTCGACCTGGGTCTCGGAGAAGGGGGGGGGGGGGGAAGCCATCGGCCAAGATCCTTGTCAAGTGTTCTGCGTCCTGCTAGAACAGTGTAACGTGGACCAGTCCTTCGGCCGACTCAGGTGGCCAGTGTGGTCTGAGGGTGTCCATGTGGTGTCCGTCGAGCTCGAGGCTCCAGGAGGGTCGGTAGTACGATCCTGGGAAGTCCGAGGGGGGGTATTGTGGGTGGTGGCTGGGGTGATCGAACTGGGGGCCTTGTGGTGGGTTGTCAGGGGGGTGGTGAGGCAGGGAGTGGGTTTGTTGGGGGGGGGAGTGCTGAGGGAGGGGGGGGAGGCCAACAAGGAGGAGGCTGCTGGGGAGGGGATGAGGAGGCCGGAGGGTGTTGGGGAGGAGGGGTTTTGTGCGTTCGGCAAGCCGGAGACCGGTGCTAGGGCGATGGACGGAGAATGAGGGGAGAGAGCCAGTGTGATTGGAGTCGACGTGGGGGGCGGGGGGGGAAGGGGGCGGGACATCGGCGGGGGGGGGGGGGGGGGGGGGGGGGGGGGGGGGGGGGGGGGGGCGGGGCTGGGGCCGGCTGGTGAGGGGGCATTGTGCTGATGCTGCTGAGGACGTCCGCTGTGGGTCGAGGAGGAGGAGTCATGTTTGTGGGGAACGGGGTCCGGCATGGTGGGGGCCCCTGTCGACTGGTCTGAGGGGGTGCGAGCCGATCGTCTGCGGCGACGCTGATGGGGGCCGCGATCGGAGCGTCGGAGGCGATTGAGGAGTCTGGCGGAGGATGGGGCGTTGGCTTGGGGCAGAGAGCGGGGATAAGATCGAGAGTATCGCGGTTGGATTGCGAGAGGTGGTCCATTTGCGTCTTCAAGTGGAGTAGGACCTCGTCTGGGGTATGTGCTTCGGCCGGTCCATCATGGACGTTGGTGCGTTTGCTGTTGAGGATGGAGATCGTGTCGGAGAAGTCTCCTTTCGCCTCGGGAGCCGCCGCGACGATGTTGTCCACCTCCATGGCTCGCGAGGCAGTGTGGTCTGCCTCGCGGCTGAAGGCGTCGTCGCGACGAAGAGCCATGCTGGTGTGGGAGCTGGCAGCGTGCTGAATCACCTGTGGCCCATGGAAGGGGAAGATGAGGGCCGCACAGTGGGTCTGGCGGGAAAGTCCCTCTGTTGCGAGGAATTGAATGGACGATGGGCCTTGGCCCGCCACGGCGACGAGGACGCGAGCGGGAGTGCAGAAGAGGGGAGCAGAGGGGGGGGGGGAAAGAGAGGGGCTAGAGCCAACGGACAATGGACCAAGAACCTCGCTCAATCCGATATCAACGCGAAGCGCCGAATCAAGGATGAAAGTCGATGTGTCATCCAGAGGCACGCACGATGATAGTCTGAGCAATGGGTTATTCATGGTTCGCAGGGATTACTCGACGGCTGGGATCCGGGATGTTCCTCGGGAAGCATCGTGGGCACTTCCTTTGCGGCACGTGATGTCACCTTTCAGTAGCCAATGCTCGGGCCGGCGCCCTGATCTGGACATCGAGAGCTATGCCTCTCCGCCGCGTGCCCTGATGCTTCGGCATGGCTGTGTTTCAAGTTTGTAACTCACCCATCGATTTGGTTAATGGGTGTCTCGGGGATACTGCCCCAGTCCGGCGGAAGGAACATGCATGGGTGCCGATTTTCCAGCCCCGGCGCCGCCCCCTAGTGCCGATGGACCACGCCATGTTCGAAGGCCAGGGAAAGAGCTGGTGGCATGTCACAATCGCCCTGGGCATGAGGTGTTCTCTGCATTCTCAAGGAGCGTGCAATAAAGGGCTTTTATATTCCCGGCCCCCCTCCCCTTAATATACGCTTCGACTCTGGACGTTCTGCTTCCGTCGTCCTTCTCGGTCCGGGGAAAGCGTGGTCCTCGCTCTGGGCCGCGGTCGGGCGAATTCTTCCAAGCGTGCCTTTGCCCCGATGATGCAACCTTTCATGGCTTCGCCCCGATTCGATCGTCTACCAGCGACTCGGGACATCACCGCACACATCCAGTGCACCGGCCGACTCCGACCAATGCGTCCGCCCACACGGCACATCCGCTGGCCGTGTGGCATGTTCCGGGTGTCCCCACGCCTGGCGGTGGTGGTTGCCGGCGTTTGCCCGGGACTTCGGGCCGAAGTGGCTTCCGGCGATGTGACAGTGTGTCACTGATGGTGTCTCATTTCCCCCGGCCAAGTTCCTCCCCCCCCCCCGCCCCGTGAAACGGCCACCGTCCTCCGGGCCCCTGAGCTTGGTTCGTCGAGCCCACGCGCTGGGTGTCCCCCCCCCCCTCCACCCGGGCCACGGAGGCCGAGTTCTTGTTGCCTGCAGAAACATTCGCACGCGAGGCCGACTCCAATGTCCCGGCCCGCCCCCCTCCCCCGAGACTCAGCCGCTTGAGAGGGTGTGATTGTGGATCGCGGCCAACGTTGCTGGGCACCACCCACCGGCGCCTTGTCGTGCGAGGGGGTGGGCGGGAGGTGCTTCTTTAGGGGGAGATCCTCCCAGGGTCCGCACTTACGCGCCTTTAGACTTCCTTCCCTTCCCTTCCCTCCCCCCCCCCCCCCCCCCCCCCCCCCGTTTCTCGCTTCTCGCCATTTCCCCTCCTGCCGACCGGTTCGCACCGGGGAGAAAAGAGGACCCGAGGGCGCACCTTTCGGCGGATGAGCAGCCCGCCACTCACGGCCCATCGGCCCATGACAGCCATGCAGCCCTTGGTCCTGCTACTTTCGCTGGCCTCGCTGCACCTGCTGACTCTATTCGTTGGTCCTTCTCGAGGCCAGGATCTCTTCTTGCACGCGGCTAGCTACCCCGTCCTGCAGGGGCTTGCGCCGGTGTCCTTTGCCACGGCGGCCAACCAGGGCTCAGTGGCCGGGGTGTCGACGAGTGCCGAGTTTTTCCACATCAAAGCACAGGAGGACGGTGTGGCCGGCCTTTCGGAGGTTCGGTGGGGTCTCTTCTTTGATGGGCACAAGTCTTCCATTTCACGGTTACGCTCTGGCGATCCCTGGCCGGGACAAGTCATGATGCTCCCTGTGGGGGATTCCCTGGAGCCCGTGCTGGTGGAACACACCTCGAGCCATGTGGGTCTGCTCTCCTCGATGAATGCCTTTCCCCTGCCCGGGGCGAGTGCTGAGTTGCTGGCTGGCATTGCCGTTAGCGATGAATCTGTCGAAGTGCTTGGTGTGTCCAAACAGGCCGCCGGTTCGGAGGGCAGTGTTTTTATGGGCAATCTGACGCCAGCCAGCCTGAACTTGAAGCAGGACCCTGTCATCGCCACCGCCGGCCTGGTTGTGGCGGCCCCCGGCATCGGGCGGACCTTCTTCCTGGGCAATGGCGATCGCCTCTTGGCCGCCAACTGGCAACGGAACCCCGTGGTGGACTCTCTCAATGTCTCTTCGGATATTCGCGATCTGGCGGCCACGCGTTTCTTTTCCACCGCGGCCGACTGCCCTGATGGCTTGGATGTGGTTGTCCTTCTTGAGAGCGGGACAGTGCTTGTGTATCAGTGTTATGATCTTTGGCCGGATACGTCCTTCACCTCGGTGGCATCCCCGGTCCGGCCGTCTCCGGCGGAAGGTCGGATCTTGGCTCCGCCGGGCCGGGCCATGGCCGACAGCACGGCGCCCTTCTACCTGGTTCTTGCCGAGGCGGTGGATGCTCGTGACCGATTGTGGATGGCCGTGGCACATGCCGGGGAATTCTCCTGGCGTCGGGTCATCCTGCCGCCGGGCTTCGCCGATGACCTGGAGGACTTGCAGCTAGTGCGCTTGAAAATCACCGCCACCGGTTCTGGCGAGTGGACCCTCGTGTCGGGAAACACCGCGCTATTTCCGCCGGAGGTCTTTGGCTGCGGCACCGATCACACCATCGTCTGCGAAGATGGCACCCCTCCCATCAGCTCATCGCGCGGGTGGTCCTGTGCTCTTGGGCATGCGGCGTCGCCTTTCGTGTCGCCTGCCTTCCTGTGTGCGGGCTGTGCTGATGGCTGGTATTTGGACCGGCCCACCGGTATGGCCATGGCTATTTGCCAGGGTTTTTTTTTTTTCTGGCTCTCTTTCCTCACCGATGTTGATGTCATCGAGTGGGTCTTTTTTTTTCCCCCATGTCCTTGCTGCTCCTGACGCTTCTGCTTTGCACACGCGCACACCCCGTGCCCTCTTATTCATGCCCCTCTCTTTTGCTGGCCAGATGGGGCACCCTTCTCCCAGCCGGATCATGTGTGTCGGCCCTGTCCCTATCCCCATTGTCGGACTTGCAGTGCCGATGGCTGCCTCGTGTGCGAGGACTCCTTTTTCCCGGAAAATAGCGGCCAATATGGGCAGACCCTCTGCGTGGAGACCTGCTCAGTGGGCTTCACCGAGATCGCCGGCACCTGTCAACCACGCGGCCTGTCGCCGACACCGTTGAGCATCACCGTTCCCCTGGGCGAAAGTTTGCCGGGCTTGCCGTCGGGCGTGACGGTGGTCGCCATCGGGCCCACCTGGCTGTCGGTGGATGGCAACTCCTCGCGCCCGATCATTCCACGAAGCCCGGGGCTGGGTTCCCCCCCGCCCGGGGTGCTTCTCTTTGCCTCCTCGCGAAGCGTCTACTTCCTTCCGGCCAGTGCCATTGGTCAGTTGACGAAGCCCCCACTTCAGCCGGTGTCCCTCCTTGGCTCCTCTTTAAATGCTGATTTTCGGTCTTTTGCCGAGGCCGGGCCGTTCCTCCACAACGGCCGATTGAGCCACTTGCTATTAATGTGCACTGACGGGGGATTCCTCTTCCTTGCGTGGCTCAATTGCGAGCCCGGCGAGGCCGCCATGTGCGTCTCCGAGCCTGCCTATGCCGAGGGAACCTTCATTTCCGGCTGCATCGAGGTCAGACGTCTGGATGCCGGGCGTGCTCTCGTCCTGACATCGGATCAGGCGCAGTTTGTCCTTGAAGCCGATCCCAGCACCAAGACTGTGCTGACCGAGGTCGTCCAAGGGGTGGGCTTTGTCAATCTCTTCGCGCCGGGGGAGACGTCGGCCGGCCGTGCGAATCCCGCCCTCGGGGACTGGCTACTGTGGAGCACCTTCTCGGGCCGGGCCACGGTCAGCCCATGGTCTCTGCTGGGAAGCGACTCACGCAAGCAGGCCATCACCGGTGCCCTCCTGCCGGGGATGCCGGATGAGGGCAGCCTCTTCGCGCCAGTCCTTCTCCCTCGAGGGGCGGGAGCCTGGCCGGAGTTAATTCTGACCAAGGCTCAGGGCCCCGAGTGGCTGGTTCTCCAGGTGCCCGGCGACATGCTGCCAGCTGGCCGGTCCATCGACCTGGCATACAGCCGCCATGTTTTGGGGGTCTTCCCCCAGGGGCTGGCCAATCCCGTGGGCGGCCGGCTGGATGCCCTGTTCCAGGGGGTTGCCCTGCCAAATGGCGGCCCGGAGTATCCGAGTGTGCTGCTGGTCTTGGCGCGGGCTTTCCTGGGGGCTTCGCTGCTCCGTTGCCCGGATGGCGTGGCCGGTCGGTGTGCCCTTCAGCCGGCGGTGTTTGTCAGCCTGCCGGCCGAGCTGCGCCTTGCGTCCGGCACGGGGCCCTGGCTGCCGGTCATCGCCCAGGCCGGGCCGGGGCCATCCATCGAGTCGGCACAGGCGCCACCGCGGGGGACGATCTTGACCTTGCTGCTCCTTTCCCCCAGCACCGGGCAGCTGGTCTTCTCGCTGGATAACAGTTGCCCGGTGGGCACGTATGGCGATGTGTGTCGTGCGTGCGATGGGACCTGCCTCGGATGCAGTGGCCCGGGCCCGGGAGCGTGTACATCCTGCTCGGCGGGGCAGCTGCTCCATGGTGGCGCATGTGTGGGCGTCTGCCCGGGTGGCATGTGGCCCGATGTGGGTGCCGGTGTGTGCCGGGCTTGCCCGGTGGGCTGTCTGGCGTGCCAGTCGCCGACCCATTGCACGGCGTGCGGTGGGGCTTTCTTCCGAGCCGATAACTCCTGCTGGCCCTGCCATGGGTCGTGTGCCGAATGTGCCAATGGGTCCAGCTGTTTGTCCTGCAAAGTGGGACTCATCTTCCTGGAGGTGGATGAGCTGGTGGACTCGCTGTGCGGAAGTACCTGCCCGCCTGGGGAGTTTGTCGGGAGCGACCGGTGCACCGAGTGCGCCGCCAGTTGCGAGCTGTGTGTCGGCAGTGCGACCGCGTGTCAGGTGTGTGCGAGGGGTTTCCGCTGGGCCAGCAAGCCGGCACCCGGGGCCCCTGGCGCATGCGTGCCCTGTAGCCAAGGGTGTCAGTCGTGCACGGTGGACGGGTGTTTGGCCTGCGAGCCGGCTCTCCTCCTGGCACCAGGGGCCGATGCCTGTGTGCCTGCCTGTCCGCCGGGGAGCTGGGCCAATGGCGAGTCCTGCCAGCCATGCGACCTCAGTTGCCGCACATGCGTCGGCGGGGAGAGCACCGAGTGCACTGGCTGCGATGTCGGGCTGGAGCTTCTCGACAGTGCCCCCGGGGTGGGGACCTGTGTGTCGGGCTGCGGTGATGGCCAGTTCCGGGATCCGGTTTCCGGCCAGTGTGTGCCCTGTGCTCCGGCCTGCGCCACATGCAATGGCCCGACGGACCGGGATTGCTGGCGGTGCAAGGATGCCCTGTTGCAGGATGATGGCTGTGTCCAGCATTGTGCCACCCGGCATGTGGCCGTCAATGGGCGGTGCCTGCCTTGCCATGCTTCGTGTGCGGCATGCACCGGTGTCCGAAGCACCGAGTGCACCACCTGCCTGGGGGGTCTACTGGCGCTGGCGCCCGGGCCATTGCCCGTGCGCTGTGTGGAGGCCTGCCCGGTGGGGTATAACACGTCGGATTCCGGCTGCACCGCCTGTCGGGACCATTGTGCCACTTGCCCGAGCGCTCCCGGCACATGTGCGCAGTGTGAGCGTGGGTGGTTTCTCGACCAGGCGGCCTGTGTGGACGCTTGCCCGGGTGGCACGTTCTCCATGGGGAGCCTGTGCGCCGGCTGCCATGAGACCTGTGCCACTTGCTTCGGGCTGGAGGCCGACCAGTGTCTCGCCTGTGGTGCGAGTGCCCCGTTGGCGTGGGGCAATCGGTGTTATGCGGCCTGTCCGGGTGGCACCTACCAGAGCGGCCTCCAGTGCCTGCCCTGCCATGGCACATGTGCCATGTGCTCCGGGCCCGGGGCCAATGAATGCACCGGTTGCCATGGCAGCGGCGTCAGGCTCAATGGGTCCTGCCTGGCTGGCTGCCCGAGGGGCTACTTTCCGCAGGGCGACCTGTGTGTCGAGTGCCATGCTTCCTGCGGCGCGTGCGATGGTCCGGGGCATTGCACGGACTGCCTGCTGGGGCACATGCTCCAGCCGGATGGGGCCTGTGTGGCCGACTGCCCGGTTGGGTGGCTTGGCTGTCGGCAATCGAAGCGGTGTGTCGCCTGCCCGCCGGGGTGCCTGGCGTGCGAGGCCTCCGGGTCGACGTGCGAGCCCCTCTGCACGGTGTGCGATCCGGAGCACGTGCTTTCTGCGGGTGCGTGTCTTTCCTTCTGCCCGGTCGGGGAGTTCCAGCCCCCGGGGTCGGGCTTCTGTCGGCCATGCGCGGGGACCTGCTCGAGTTGCTTCGAGGCCGCGGACCGGTGCACCGGTTGCCATGTGGGGCTCCTCCATCCGGCCGAGGGCACTTGCGCCGGGGCCTGCTCGGGCTCCCTGGTTCCGGTGAAGGGGGTGTGTCTTGGCTGCTTCGCCGGGTGCGAGGCATGCGAGGCGCCTGCGGACCAGCCGGAGTGCGAGCTTCATGTTGATGGGTCGTTGGCTTGCCCGGATGTTGCCACCTGCCGGCGCTGCGAGCCGGGGCTCCTTCTTTTGGGGGTCGATCTTTGTGTGGGCTCCTGCCCGGTGGGCTTCTTCCCGGAGGCGGATGGCGCCGTGTCGCCGGCCTGCCTGCCCTGCCATGTGAGCTGTCGCGCGGGCTGCGTCGGTCCGGCTGCCTCGGACTGCCAGCAGCCCCCCGGGTCGACCGGGTCTCGCGTTGGCCTGGTCGTGGGGCTTTCCGTGGGCTTGTTGCTTTTGGCCATCCTGCTTGTGGTGGCGGTGGTGATCTGGGTGTATCGGCGCCGTGGTGCGGCGACATCAAGGAAGGCCCCCGACACGGAGGACGCCACCATGCTGAACACCATCGTGGAGCTGGCCCTGCCCGGGACGATCCTGGTCGACATGGCGGTGGACTTTGTCCCGGAGCCCGGGGAGGCGATCGGCGCCGGGAGCCAGGCCAGCGTGGTGGCCGCGCGGGCCATCGGAGCCGGTATCTCCGCTCGGCTGGGCTGCCCGGAGGTGGTGGCCATCAAGGTGCTGAAGGCCGAGGGCATGAAGCCCACCCATGTGTCCATGTTCCAGAATGAGGTTGCCTTGATGTGGCTGCTGCGGGATCATGGCACCATCGTGCGACTGTATGGCTACAGCCAAAGTCCGCCGGCCATCGTGATGGAGCGCTTCGAGGGGGACTTGAGCACGTTGCTGCATTCGGAGGTTGTCCTGTCGCCGGTGCAGCTGGCGGACATTTGCCGGCAATGGGCCACGGGGCTGGAGGCGATGCATGCCCATGGGGTTGCTCATTGTGACCTGAAGTCGGGCAATGTATTTGTCAGCCCGGTGGCCGGTTCGTGGCGGGCAGCCCTCGGGGACTTGGGGACGTCGAAGAACCTGAACACCGATCGATCCTCGGCCCTCATCACCACCGTGCCGAAGTTGAATGCCATGAGTGCGCGGTACGCGGCGCCGGAGCTGCTGGCGGCCTTCCGCCGGGGGGTGTCCCTGGAGCCGGGGCTATTCTTCCCGGCGGACATCTATGCCGGGGCGATCTTGCTCAATGAGTGCCTCACTCGAACTGTCCCCTGGGCCGGGATGAGCCTGCAGCATATTGCGGATGCCGTGCAGACGGACCAGCGGCCGGTGTGTGTGCATTCGTCTCATGCTGCCGAGGGGCTGGTCCAGGCTGCTTGGCAGACGGATCCCGAGCGGCGCCCCCTGGCGGCCACCTTCCGCCAGCAATGCGCCGCGCTCTTTGTGGCCGCCGGCGGTCTGAATGGCTCCTGACCGGGCGCGAGCTCGGCCGGGCTCCGACTTGCCGGCAATCGGGGGACGGCTTCGAGGCACGCTTCGCCTTTTGGAATACAGACAAGCGGCCGGCCAAATGAGCCATGGCCGATGGCCGCTGTGTATTTGTGTGTGTCTGTTGACATGTTTGTGTGTTTATTTGCTCATGTCTCCAAGGGTGCATATGTGCCGGTGTGTTGATGTGCATGTTTGCCTGTGTCTGACGCTGATGATGGCGCATTGTCGGAGAGCGGGAGGAGCGTGGCTGGGACCATTGGGTGGTTGTGCTTTTGGCGGAAAAGGAGGAGGGAGGAAGCCCCCCGAGGGAGCAGGCTACGCTCTCCCTGGGGACAAGTCGCCAGTGGCGAGGTGTCCCTCCGCCAAAATCCCCCTCTCCCGTTCGATGTCTCAGGGCAAGGCCGTCAGCCTCTCCAAAGGGACGCCACAAGATGTCGGCATTGAGCTGGGCGTTGTCGGCCATCAGCCACCCAGGGGCAGGGCGCCGATGGGCCCCCGGCGAGCCGGACCGAATGGCACCCGGGCGCATGCATGCTGCATGGCCCTGCCTGGAAGCTAACGACCCGAGGGCCATGGCATCCAAGCGGCTGCCAGTCTGTCGGGGCTCGAGAGGACAGCCCGGATCCCCGCCCGGCCGTCGGGGGCCAAACACACAACCGTTCCCCCCGGCGAGCGGATGCGTTCCCACACCTTGCCCTGGCGCCGGAGACCAGCCCCCGATGACCGGGGCGGTGCGGCTGGCGCACGGTCCAGCAGCACCAGAGCATCGACAGTGCGGTCACATCACACGCTTCCCCATGGGATCGCGAGACACGGCCGAGGGCCAAAGCAGGGGGCAGAGCCGCCACCTGGACCAGCCGGCGAGGGCAGGAGATGCCTGACCACCGGCTCCCCTCTACAGCCCGGCCAAGCAGCATGCTTGTGGGCAGACCCCCCCCCCTCCCCGCCGACGGCCTGGCCAGGCGAGGGGCAGCACACGATCCAGCTCCATCTCCCAAGTGGTGGCCTCGGCTCAAGTAGGGCGCTCACTCGATCGGCGAGGCTGGGATTTTGGTGCCCCGTCGGCCTGGACTGACTGGCACTTGGGCCTTGACCACCCGGCAGCCAACAGGGGCCCCGCGTCGAGGACCGGCGAAGCCGCACGCGGCCGCGCGTGCCCCACGCGTCGAGGGATGTACAAGCCGGAAGCCGGGCGGAGGGCGGCCTGGAAGCCGGGTGGAAAGTAACCGGTTTGGGTGATCGGCCTAAGGTGGGCCAGCACCGGCCAGCACCGGGACAGAAAGAAACTACGAGAGGGCGAGAGGGCTGGGCGTGGAGGAAGAAGATGAGAAAAAAAGGCGCCTCTTCGAGGTGGTGCCTCTTCGCATGGTGGCGTGAGTGGCGAATTAGGCCCGGGAAGCAGGCAAACCACCACTCGGGGAGCGGTGTTGGAGGGAGGCGGGGCATCCTGGGGCAGAGGCCCGACGACGCGCCAGGGCAGGCTGGGCCTTGGAGCAGGCTGCGTTTGGAGCATGGCCCGGCCGGCCAGCCGAGCCCGATGCTGTCAAGGCATCGGGGCATGCTCGTCCCAGGGACCGATGGTCATGTCGCACTTGATGTGCTATCCATGGCGCGGGTCATGCCCGGCAGAGCCCTCCCTCGCGTGCAGGGCGACGGTATCGCCGTCAATTGAAAGCGTCCTCCCCCTGCCGGGGTACCAGCCCGCCGGACGCGCACGCGTAGCCCGGCCCTGTCGGAGGGGTCCCATCGCCACCCTTGGCAATCGGTGCGGGACCGGGCGTGGGAGGCCCTCTCCCCCTTCCCCGCCCCCCCGATCATGGAGCGACGGCTGGGGGGATGGCAGAGCGGTTTGGCGGAGGCGTCGCCCAAAGGGGCAGAAGACTCTCTGGGCCGTGGAGGAATCCACCACAAGCGTGGGAAAATGACCGGAGATGCCCTCTAGACGCGTGTTGCATGTGGTTGTCAATGGGGGGATGTCTCGCACACCTGCCCAACGGCCTTGGCAGGGGGGTATGCGGGAAAAGTCCCCGACCAACAGGATGCCCGAACGGAGAGGCACATGCGTCGGGGGCACGCCCATCGGCCGGCCCTGCGGCGGGTCCCCCGATCGGCTCATCGCGACCGAGCCCGAAGGACCCGAGGGAGGTCGTGTGGAGGGCCCGCCTGACTGCCAAGCCCTTGGCGACGGAGCGTCGAGGCGTTCTCGGAAAGGCGACTGACACACGCCTCTCGGGCGGACGCGCGGGCCCGTTCTCGGGCCTGCCCTCGAGCTTTTTTGGCGTCCGAAGGCCCTTGTAGTTTGCCCGCCCGCTCCACCTGGTCGATTTGCCGGAGCCGCCCTCTTCGGCGACACTGGGGCCCGGGCGGAGGCATGTTGGCCTTCGTGCCTGTGGTCGTTTTCCGGGATGGCCTCCGGCCGGTTCTCCTGCCAAGGGGGCAAGTCTCCGCCGGCGGCAGCCTCGCCGGGGCAGTCTCGTCTTCAGGAGGCAGGGGTAGGCCCTGCGCGTGGTGCTCGCGAAGCGGCGATGTTGTGTGTGTGTGTGTGTGTGTGTGTGTGTGCTCGAACCGGGCTGCTGCTTCGTGGCCTTGCGGCTCCCGCACGCGGACGCTTGCCAGCTCTCAGGAGCTTGTACGTCTCATTGGCCGCCGAGGGAATCCCGAGCCCTGCTTCCGGCGGGCCTGCGCCTGGGCCGGGGGCTGCACTCCCTGGGGGGGCGTGCCGGAGAATAGAACATGCGCGGCTCAGGCTGCAGGCGGGATTCTTTGGCCTGCCATGAACTGACGTCATGTGTACAGCAGCCGGCCGGCTGAAGCGATCCAATGCCCAGGCGGGGGCCGACGGTCCGGATGACTGACTGTTGGATGCGACACGAGCGGGGTACACTCCGCGATGCTGCCCCACCGCGGCTGCCGGGGCGCACCCCGCGGCCGAATGCATTTGTCCCGATGGCGGTGAGCGAGGACCCATGTCGTGCGGCATTCCCCCGAGAGGGTCGCGCTCGACGTGAGCCACGACGCTGGCATCGAAAGGGGCGGCCGGGTGCCATCGGGTGGCGCTCGGCCCGAGAGGGGTCCCCCACGGCCAGGCGGGTCCAGGGCCGAGCCCGGCTGGAGCTCACCTCCGGGCGGACTCGGCGCGTCCCTCGGTATGGAGTTGTGCCAATGGTTATGGTTCCGGCATGGTGCGTCGGTGTGCTCGGGCGGCCCGTGGCGAGGGCGCGCGAACACACGGGAACGCTACCCGGACCCCGGACGATGCTGCCGGCAACTGGCCGCCACGCGTGCCGGCGCTCCCGGACAAGGAGGCAATATGAGAGCGCACGGGCTTGTGCGCGCGCTCAATGGTGCTGGGGAGGGCGTCGTCCGACACCAGGGCTGGGCATGCCGCCGCACTTGCTGGCCAGCCTGCTACCGGTGCTGCCTGCGGGTGCTGCCCCAGCAGCGGGCCACTCGTCCAACAGCCAAGCGTGCCACCTGCGGTGCCGAGTGCGGCCGGAAGCCGGGGATTATGCTTCCCATTCCGCTATCCCCACAAAGGGGTGGGCTGGCGCGCGGCCGGCAGGGTCCGGGGCACCTCTCTGCGCCTGAGCGCTGACCGAATCTCGGCGCGGCCCGGCGGCCTGTGCGATTTGAATGCTCTCTGCACGCCGACGAAGCTGGCCAACCGGGAGCGCTCGGCTGGCCCCGAAACGGGGCGCCCCCCTCCCGGCGGCCGGCGAGTCCTCCGATGGCCGAGGCCTCTCCCAATGGGCGACCTGTTCCCGCACGGCGCGGAGGAGGAGTCCCGCTGGCTTTTCCAGGTGTCCTTTCGCCGGACCCCGGCTATACCACTTCGCCGGTGCATTCTTTGAGGGAACACCTGGAGGTGATGGCCACCGTGCTGGCCGGATCCGCAGACCCCGTGGCCCACTGCCCAAGGGCGTGGACCATTGTCCCCGGGGCTTGGGGAATACGGGCTGCCCGTCATCCGCCGGGAGCAGCCCAGCCACCGCCAATGCGCCGCGCAGTGTGGGGCGACTGGGGGCCTCGAGGGTGCCAGCCAAGAGGAGCCGCTGGCGGAACACGCCAAAAAAAAAAAAACAACGGCCGGGGCTTTCGAGCGCAGCGAAAGACCACAAGAACCACTGCTTCCTGCCCTCTGGCGATGTGGGTGGCTGTCAAGGGCGGCGCCCTGGCTGGCGGCTGGGGCGACACATCCCCCGTCGCAAGGGCCCAAGCATCCACATGCTGCCCCCCCCCCCCCCCCCCCTGCCCCTGGAGCGGTCGATGCGTTTGCTGCGTCACCGACTCGGGCCGGCTTTGTGGCCGGACTTCATTATGGCAGCGTGCGTTGGCGCGACCACCTGCTTTGGCAGAGTCGCCATGGGGTCCGAGGGCTCACCGGCACTTGCCTGTGCTTTGCACCATGCAGGGCGATTTTCGAAGGGTACAGCGCCGCCAACAGGACCAACGGGCGTACCGGGCGCGCGCGCGCATGACTGTCGCGGCTGAGCCCTCGCCAAGGCGCAGGCGGCTGGCGGCCGTGTCAGGGAGCAACAATGTCAGGCTGCGGCAGGCCCCTTCCCGGCCGGTGTGGAGATCACCCCAAAATCCGAAGGCCGCGAGAAGACGCCCGCACCGGGCCAGGGGGGAGGGGGGGGGGGCGGCAAGCAAAGGGGCCTGGCGGCACTGGTCGAGGGCAGGGCACAGTCGGGACCCGTGTCTCGGGGTGCCACTCCGTGCGCATGTGTCTCGAAGTCGAGACGCCGGCTCCGGCCAGCACGCCCTGCCCACGGTGGTGGTCCCCGAGGCGACGTGAGGGTGTGGGGCCGGGTGACCGGCTTCCGGGCCGGGGGGCCTCTGACGATTGGTCCCGGGAACATGTGCGCAATCGGCCGCCCCGACGGGCGCCCGGGTTGAAGTGCCGGGCGGCGCATCGCTTCGGGGGCTCCAGAAGGGGGCCAAGATCCAGCCGATGCCACGAGCGCTGCCTATCTTCGGGATCAGGGGGGTGCCCTCCGGCGGCGCACCCGGTGGGTAGGCGGTCCAGCATGATTCCGCGGCAGACCCCGCCTCTGCGATTCCCTTGACTGGCCGCCTGGGGGCCTGTGCTCTCGTAGCGGACTCGATCGCGCGCGTGCCTGCGTTTGTCCACGGCGATTCTTCGCTTCCTTCGCCCTCGCCGGTCGGTCTTTTTCGGCGTTCCTGCCGACGCCCCTCGGTCGGCGCCTGCTGACCTGCCGACCGGCCTTGGCGGGTACCAACTTACCTCAAGCGGGTGCTTCGACGAGCATCTACCAGCCATTGTGTCGAGGCATCCCGCGGCATGTGGTGCGCCCCTTGGCCATGATGGCGCCCGTTGGCCATGATCGAGAGGCCACGGCCGCCCTGCATCGCGGCCTCGGGGTCGGGCCGTCGCACGCATCGAGCTTCGGAGAAGCCGCACCATGCATGCCGGCAGCTGCAAGCCGCGGCCATTCGAGCACCGGATCGGGACAGCGTCCATCCGCGCGGGTGATCCTTCCGGATCAGTGGTCCCAGGGGGCATGGGGGCCGGGGGTGCCAGGGGGGGTCGGGGCAAGAATCAGCGACTGCCTTGTGACCGGGCACCGTGGGCAAGGGGCTCCCCGTGGTCGTACCTGGCACGGGAGCGGCAGGGCAAAGACCAAAGGATGGTCCATCACAAGCGCCACGGTGGGGCAACGCCCGCGCCGGTGCCGAGCGCCCCTCCCGCATGCGAAGTCTGCGCTCGGTGTCTTGGCTTTCCGCGCAAGAGGCCCTTCGGCGAGGGGGAGGGGGCACGGGGATGTGCCAAGAAGAAGCGCCGGGAGATCCACCCATTCTTGAGAGTGCCCGGGAAGGGACAGAGACATGTCCCCGGGGGACAGGCGACGCGGCGTTCCGCCAGTCTGGCTGTGGCGCATGGCCGGGGGCAATGGGCGCCGCCAGGGCATGCACCCGGTCGTGGGTACTCGCGCAGTGGGCGAGTATGGGGCCTCGCCAGGCCCAGGCGAGAGGGGAGGCCGGCGAAGGCGTCCTGCCCCGGGACGGAGCATCGGCCACCGGCTGATCGGCATTGTCCCGAGCAGGGCGCGCAGTGGGACCAGCTGAAAGGCGCCCCTTTGAGAGGGGTATTTATTGGGGGCGGGGGGCGGGGGG